GTTAGAACGCTGGCCTTGTAATCCTGCTGTCTCGGGTTCGAATTTATAACTTGTGTTGGGCAAGGCCGTGGTCTAGGCAACACGGAGTTTTCCTCCGTGGCATCCCAACAATTACTCCATTCACACACAGAAGAAGGCAATGGCAAACCACTTCTGGATCATCTGCCAAGAACGTATATGAACAGGTCCCAGTCCGAGAAAAGGATGGAAGGATCCTGTTCATATGGACCGTTTAAACAATGCAGGTCTTAACAGTTTCTGCTGTAATGACAAGCGGCTTCATGTATCTGTATTCTGGGTTTTGTCTGGACCTCATCCAAGGCACAAGGCGAGTTGCCTTTTCCATATCAACTACCCACATGACAATTGAGCCCAACATGACCCGAGGGAGGTCCCTGAACCCTGTAAAACGGGACTTACATTTCCTTTTCCCAATTATTTGAAGTCCAATGCATTGTGACTTATTAAACATATGAATCGTTCATCTTGGGCCATTTTAAAACTGATTAAACTGTTCAGACTTCGACCAGGTTTTCTATGTCTGAGGATTCAATGAATGTACTAATGAGTCTAAATAAAGAACCGAATTTCGTCTACACCGGTGTTCTGGAACCGGTTTGCGAATTTTTAAAAGAAACTGCAAATTCGCACGTCACAGTCAGAAAAAGGTAATATCTTATCTTTCGTCATCGACAGTTCCATCCAACATGTAAAATTTCTTTTCCATATGCCTGCGTCCTTCTAGGGCAAGGACTTACATGTAGATACATATTTACGGTAATGTATAATTTCGTGAGATGACATTTTGTGGTATCTTTGGAAAACCAGTGTCCCGCGGGCGAGAAAAACTGATCTACATAACTGTTTTAAATTAAGTTCCTACTGCAAATAAAATATAAAAATTTCAATTTCAAAGATAAATTTTTTAGCTAATGTTATTTTGAGAAAATTGCAGTTTATTCAAAGAATGATCCGAGTACCACAAACACTCTCTTATTGACATCCAAATAAAAACGCACTTCTATATGTCTAATGAGCATTGCTTCTGCCATCTACACGGCATTGGTAGAAGTTACCTTATTTCCAGAACTTTCTTTCAGATGGCGCAGCAATACATTAAAGCTATATCCTACGAGGTATATTATTAAGGCTTTGACCGGGATGTTCTTTTGTTAAATCTTATGTGGTACCGCCTGATTCGACTTCTAATGGTTAAGTGAAGTGTTTTCTTCGCGGTACGGTCTGGATTCGTAAATATTATGAAGACGAGCTTCGGCTTCAAAGGGTTAACCAGCTGATTTTCGTAATGGTGAGGTGAAGTGTTTTCTTCGCGGTACGGTCTGGATTCGTAAATATTATGAAGACGAGCTTCGGCTTCAAAGGGTTAAAAAGCAAGGAAATACACGAGGTAATATGCCCCCACCAAGTGAACAGAAATTAGCCAGTCCCTCCAAGGTCTTTCAGGCCATCAGGGGGCCCGAACATGATCCTGAAACATCTACCCAAGCGCGCGATAACCTTCCTCACAAAGTCTTCCGGTACTAGACACCGGAACGGAACCAGATTCACGTGGTAATGAAACCCTACAGGACTAGAAGACATCGCTGGAAACTTGGGTCCTCCTGAATGTAAACGAGGGCGGATTGCTGAGCGACGAGCAGCTTGAGTTTCGACCCAGACAGCACGACACTGCAGCTGCTCAGCCCTGTTGAATGATTCGATTGAAGAGGCTTAAGTCTTCGACGCCGCGTTGGTCAAAGGCCTCCCGTTAGTATTTTTCCCACCCCTGTACAATTTCCATTTCGGAGTTTTCCATTGCAACTTAATCGATCACTCTGTTAAGTCCGAACTTGAAAATGTGACTTAAATTAGCACAGGTACTAATAAAGGCAGCCTTAAGCTGACTTCTCACGCCTTCCTGATAAGGTAACGTCGATCACGAGACATCATAAATAAGTTCATTTAATGCGAGAATCAACACTTTGATCTCCTATCTATAAATCTTACGATAAAATGAAAATCATTTTCATGCACAGAATGTTACACTCATTCCGGAGGGTTTGCAGTTGAATGGGACACATCAACTATTGGCATTTGCTGATGATTAATTTGTTGGGGGACGACGTAAATACAATAAAGAGGAACGCAGAAGTTTTACTAGAGGCTGGTAGACAGGCGGGGCTCGAAGTAAGTACATGTTAGTATCTCGTCGTCAGAAGACAGGCGGGCAAAATTATCTTAGGGTGGCTAATAAGTCCTTTGAAAGGGTTACAAAGTTCAAATATCTGGGAATAATAACTCACGAGGAAGTTAGGAGGAGATTAAATTCCGGAAATGCTTGCTACTTCTCAGTGCAAAATAGGGATTAGCTGTATCGATTGGTTTTACCTGAAGACGGAGATAGACTCCCATCTCTGAAACATCGTGGCTTTTATTGATTTTATTTAGTATTGGACGATGGATAATATCCAGAAAACAGTTTTCTTCATCATAATATTTTGTCTTCCCGTCTGATTTCTAAGAACCTGAAGATTAAAATATACAAAAAAAAGAATTGCCTGTTATTTGTATGGGTGCGAAACATGGTCTCTCACTCAGAGGGAGGAACACAGATTGCAGGTGTTTGAGAATCGGGTGTTGAGGATATTTGGGCCTAGGAGGGAAGACGATGGGGCGTGGAGAAAACTGCATAATGACGAACTTAAAAATCTGTACTCCTCCCCTAATATTGTCACGGTGATTAAGTCGAGAAGAATGAGATGGGCGGGGCATGTAGCGCGCATGGATGGGACAAGAGGTGTGGAAGCCTGAGGGGAAGAAGCCTCTGGGGAGACCTAGACGTAGATGGGAGGATAATCTCAGGCGGGATCTATGGGAGATAGGGGTTGGAGGAGACGCTGGGGAGACCTAGACGTAGATGGAAGGATAATGTCAGGCGGGATCTATGGGAGATAGGAGTTGAAGGAGGCTGGATTTTGTTGGCCCAGGACGGGGTCCGGTGGAGTGCTTTGGTTAATTCGGTGATGAACCTTCGGGTTCCGCAAGCCATCTTGTTAGTTAGTTAGTTACTTATGAAATCTGTTAAGGGAAGAACACAGATTGATAATAGGATCTGAGACATGGATTAACATAAATGCATAATTCCAATAATATAGGCCTTAGGGAGTTACGAAATGATGGAGCGAACTAGATGCAGCTAGCTCAGGATAGAGTCTAGTGGTGGGCTTTTGTGAACACGGTGATGAACCATCGGGTTCCAAAAAGAAAGTTAGATATTCTTTGACAAGCAGAGTATTCAATTGACTTTCCAAAGAATTTCCTGCACCATACAATGCTATTGGTGGGCAACGTAGCGCCGTGCGTATTGTGCTGCGCCCTGTAGAACGATTCACAAGTATACACAACAGCGACGTGACAATAGCCAAGTCGGTAAGAAGGTTATCTACTCTTCAACCTTCAAAATACCTCTGCCCCACCACAAGAACTACTCATATACCATGAATAATTCTGAAACCCTGATATCGTAAACAATCTAAGTCTCAGAGGGTGAAAATAATGTATAATATTTTCACATAATATTCGTCCATAAGTTGAAGGTATCCCAACAAAATGAAAATTCCTTAAGAAATTACATAATTATATCTATTTGATCCATATTAATCAATAACCGCCCTTACTGAAATGTTCTGAACCATGTTGTAATCTAATGATCTTAAGGATTGAGATCAGTTGAGGTTTACAAATTGTCAATGAAAAACATATCTTGATCTTACAGTTTAAACTATATAATTAGTCTTCACACTTATATCTGGATCTAAAGAAATTAATGCTTTCATTGACTACAACATATAACATGGAATCATACTGAAAAGTTTTCACACATTAAAATATTATTCATGCATTTACATCAGTAACATACGGAAATTGCAATTTCTTGAATAATACCCATTTATATAAATGTATAGACTGGTACAATCTGAGATGCAAAAAACTGGTGGAATAAACCACACAACAATAATAATAAGACTATATTACAAATATCTGCATAATTTAATAAGCGTGACAAAGTTTGACTAAGCGTGACGTATGTAACGGCTTGAAGAATTATGGCCATACGAGTCAAAACGTCACAAATATTTTCAAAACTTTACTTAACCTAACAAAATCTACTAAACAACCGAACATAACCTACCCTAACCCAAAGAAACCTAACCTAACCGAACGTAATTTAACCTAACCTAACCCAACATATCCTAACCTAACCTGTCGATGAATCGACCTGATGACGGAGGCAGTATGACCTCTGAAACGTTGGTTAACATCGACCAGACTACACAGCGCAACAACCCAGAAGACAGAAATCTTCATACTCATCGCCCTGATGATGGAGGCAGTATGACCTCCGAAACGTTGGTTAACATCGACCAGACTACACAGCGCAACAACCCAGAAGACAAGAATCTTCATATTTTAGTCGCCCTGATGACGGAGGCAGTTTGACCTCTGAAACGTCGGTTAACATCGACCAGACTACACAGCGCAATAACCCAGAAGACAGAAATCTTGAAGTTTGAATTGTTGCAATGATATCAGATGATCTGCAGAGCTGGTACAGTTCTTGGTTATAACTTAATCGCCACTCTTCTCCCTCTTATACTGGAAAATATGTAAGATGGAGGTGAGTTTTATGTTTACGTTCCAGTCGATCCACTGGAGAACAGCGAGCTTGAAACCCAGTGGGCACGAACGTATTTTGAGGTCAGAGACGATGAGGACGTGGTTCCAAAAACTATTGCCTCTTCCAGGATTCGAACCCTAGTCGTCCAGTCCTAACACTTTCTTGAGCCGGCTACTTTGATGGCTTGCGGAAAGGAATACAACAGACTCTTATTAAATTACATTCATTGCGGAAGGAGTGTCAGGTGGATTGGAATAATGCCATCACCTGGTTTTTACTGTGCCAACTGTGGCAACATCGCGAAAGCATGTTCCGCTCCAGGGCATTGTTACCATGCACAGCCAGTAAGCTGGCAGTTCCAGTCTGACCATACAGTGAAGTGGTGGTTTGTAAGAAGGTTGGCATGGCAATCACTCAGCATCCGACTGTCGATAACAACAGTGCGCATCCTTAGCGACTGAACTGGCATATGAATAAAGGTAAGCAGTATTTCATTTGTCATATTAACTCGTCCGTCAACGCTGGGACAGTAATGAAAATGAGTTTTGGATCGAACTGTAAAATGATTGTGTGAATCATGAAATAAAATGGATGTGGACGGGAGCGATTGTACTGCACCAGCAGGAAACCCACAAAAACCACATGACAGCTTATCACCTGCCGATTGTCAACCTGTGACCCCTTGAATACGAATCAGTACTAACCAGTAAACCGCGATGTTCGGTTCAGGTTGTTGTACGACTCTGTTTCAGCTGCCTACGTTATGTGTAGCGAAGAATGAGGTGGGAAGATGATCAAGAACGACAATGGATTTTATTATATGATAGAACTGTCATGAATCTGGATGATATTCTACTATTTGGTGTTCGGTCTTCGAAGAGAGCATTTTCAAGGGATTTTCCATAAAAATGATGTATGCATTTCTCATATTCTCTATTTCAGCCAAATTCCCAGACGTTTTACAAAAGGTGACCTTATAAAGGACAAAGTTAGTCCTTATGTAAGACATATCGTATGTTGTTTACTTTGTGTTTACTAAAACGTGATAGTGGAACCACGGTTCCGGAAAATTTGATGTAAATACGTCTATACAGATAAGGAGTTTATATATTGGTAGCTGAATGTAATGTAAGGTAAAGTAATGTAATATTTTATAGGTAACAACAATGCCGAGCAAACAGATGTTTCTTAGGTAACCATTATTGTCGATTTGTTGATAAACAGATGAAGTTTCCTAGGTAACCATTGTCGTTTAATTGTTGATAAACAGATGACGTTTCCTAGGTAACATAACAATGAAGTTACACTTTTTCGTAACACATTTTTGCCGAATGACACTGACCCTAAAATATAGACGTATTTACGTCAAAAAACAGACCTACATTGTTTAAAATACTTGCAACTATGTTTAAACACGTGTTATTTAGAAACCGCGTTTCGCACCCATAAGAAATATTAGAAAAATGTTCTGGGTGCCTGAGGCTGTTTCCTGAACTACGTTTTGGAATGCCTACTCGAGATTCACGTGTAACATAAAATAAGTTATAACAACTGATAATACGCCGAGCTTCGGAACTGGCATAATCGTAGAGTACATTGATGTCAGGAAACGAAGTCTTCCTGCAAACCATGGCTCCTACTTCCGCTTTACCGCGAGGAAATTGCATACCTGACTAAAATGAGGAATTTCAGCTGTTAAGGTTCCGAAGGACGGAGAATTACTTCCAAGCTGAATGCGACAGTCCACACATCAACGACGTTACAGACACTGCCGTCAACTGATTAAATTTAATTAAATTCCTCTCACGCTTTTAACAATAAATGTATTCCTTACCTTATTTAACATAGCTCTTTTAACTGCAATATGTTTAGTGAATTACTTACAAAATATGTCGGAGGCAGATGTTGCTTAATTTAAAACACTATTTAGCCTACAGCTTTTGCCTGGAGGACTTAGAGAAGCCACAAAACAATCAACCACGCGGTTCGGTGTATTCAGTCAACAACGGGTAATTAGCAAATGACACCGTTTGTTACTACATAGGCCTACATTCTGGGTTTTATGAAACGCTGCTGTGATTAAATTAAAGAGGCAATCCCAGTGACCGATATGTTTAAGAGGACACAGGTCTTAGCCCGAGCAAACGATGGGGTTGCTGGTTCGAAACCGCAAAGGGGAAAGGCTATTCATGTGCATTTCGCTTCACACAACACACCAATCGCCACAATTCATCACACTTCGAGGGGTTTGCCATTGGCTAGCACACCACTGTCTGTCCGTCCATATATCTGAAATCACGGTAAAGATTTTTATAATATTTTATATTTAGCGTCTATACTGAGAGTTGTTGAGTTAACTTAATTTTAACCTAGATCAGACCAACATAGGCCTATACGGCCTGAGACTACTTAAAGCTCAAATGGAATTTTATCACTATTGTAAAAGTGTCCTTCGAGACCGAAGACATTTGGTAACACTACAGGCCTCATTAACATGCACAAATTTTAAATTTAAAAATTCTAGATATTATTTATGTTTAATGATAGGTAGACGATGCATAGTTATTTGACTATTCAAGGTTAAGAAAGTCGTGTGATGAGCTTTGAAAACAATAAATTTGTGCATGAAACAAATGACCATTATGATCAAAGCGAGACGTAAAACCACAGATGCACAATTTTCCATTCTTGTTCACATCTTTTCCAAACACGTTTCCCTACTTTTTAAAATCAGACACGACGATGGGAATCTTTTTAGCACAAGAAACCTTCCGTAATAAAATTTCTACAGTAATTCAGTTTATAATTCCAATTACTAAAAATACACAAATAGCTTCTAGTGTTCAGAGACAGCAGAATAGGATTTGTTATTGCTACGAAGTGCTAATATTTTTAAACTATGTGTCTCGTGTCTCTGGAAAGGGTTAAAAACATGGAGCATTATGTTCTGTTACCTACGTGTAAGTGTATGAAAATAGTCGTCTGCCATATTTATGCAGCCTGCCGACTTCTGTCGCCAGCCGAACACACGAATGCACCAGTCATTCTGTCCACGAGTAATTTCTCTTGAAACCCACGCCGAATGTTTCCTGACTACGCTTTCTCCATGCAATATGTTATTCAGAAACCCAGTCGCACTTTCGCAACGCCGTTCTGACATTGCATTTTCTTACCTTGTCTTTGGTTAAAAAAACCTACCACTTGCACGACCGAAGGAACCAGTTTCTTGTTCTGTGCTCATAATGTCCTCTCTTATTCACTTCATATTTTCCTGAGCACCTTCTTTCAAGTTCTCTCAAAGGAAGAGACCACGTTTCATAGTCACACAAACTAAGCGAGAAACAAAATTCTCTGTACAGCGTTTCGGAGAGCAATGATCATACATTTGGATATGAATAACAAGCATTTAAATAAGTTGTTCTCCCTTGTACGCTTATGGCCTATCTTCTGAGCAGTATGTTCCCTTCCCGCAGTTTCAAACAACGTCGTTAAACCGCCTAATAAACTTTCTGTTTAATGTACATTAAACTTCGTCTGTTTCATTCTTGTTAGGATGTCCTTGCGAAACACTTGCACAGAGCCAGCCAGGCAACCTCGGGTATGATGACAGACATGTGGAATTTACCTCTGCTATACGTCACAGTGATTCATCTAATTTCCCAAGAAAACAGCAGCAAGATACGACTCTAAAGAAAGTAGTGCCTGACGCAAAGCAACGTTTTTCTTGGTATTCTAACGCACTGTGAATCTCCATCTCCCAGCTCTGGTGCGGTAAGAATCCCGTATACAGCAAGGACTTCCTGGACGTTTTTCAGCGCACTCGCAACAAACGCAGCGTGGCCTCAAACGGTCGTTGATCCAAAGTGTTCGTTTGTTCATCTTGTCAGGAATACTGGAACTCGCCGAAAAGTCTGACAGTATGTGGACAAAGGTTTTGCAGACTTGATGCTGATGGCAGATGTTTAAAGGCTTTGTAAGGCTCTGATATGCCATTGAAACGTGGTAAAGAGATTTGATAAAGTACGCCATGGGGGGATCTTTCAGCATTTCCTCTCGTCCTCTGTTTCTGCCAGCAGTTAATAACTGCCTTTGATCCGATATTCAATCTTATTCTAACATGTTCGAGAAAGTTCGCAGAAGCGAATACGTCACGTCAATTACCTCTTTAAAACACAATGGGAGGCCTAAATGTTTCACATAACGCCTGCCTTGACGTCAATAACTACCTTCTTCGCTCAAAAATTTGTTGTTTTGATTTTTCTAAAAAAAAATAATACAGACAGTTTCACGAGTGCGAACGATTAATAGAGATCTGACAGTTTTGATCTACAGAATCCCTCTCGTGACGCTCTCTGGCATAATTATGTAATAGTCCCACCCGACTCTCTTGTAAAAATGAGCGACCATTAGTGTACACCCACGAAATAAAACGGTAGTATCGGTCGACTTAGTGGAAGACGATACATTATAGACATGTTTAGTGTTAGAATTACCTCTATCAAGTATTAAGCATTAGTCATTATCTTCTAGCCTTGACATTAGACGTTTATATCCAGACGTGTCTTATCACCCACTCTATACAATAAAATGATCAAACTGCCAGCTGACAACCTCGGAGAATTAATCGTCCGTTAGTAGCAGGTACGTACAGCCTGGGATTCATGTAGATTAATTATGGGGAAGACAGAATAAGTTGTGACTGGCTTGAGTTTTTGAGGAATTCAGAGAATTCTTGTCGACCAAGACTTACGACAGAGATTGATAACATCAAATACCTAAGGTTGGCATAACTTGGGGGTAGATTGTTAAACGTTTTCCGTTTTAGCGAGCACTGCAGTAATCTTCATGGCGAATATCTTTGGGGCATTAGGTTGCGGGTTGTGAGTGAGTGGTGAAGAACGACTGGACGAACATTCAACATTTTGAGCTGGCTAGTCCCGAAAACGGAAATTACACGTTAAACTGCAGTCAAGGAAAACTAAGGAAAAAAAGTGAGGTTTATGACAACAAACATTCGTCTCAGACGATTTTCAACATAATACTGACATAAAAACCAACGTTTTCTTTTTTTAACCAATGCTGGAATAAATTAATAGTCACGATACTAATTACATAAATAACCAATTAAAGAACAAATTAATTAGTGATTAACCAAATAAATATCTATCCACAACAAGTTTAGTCAATAGCCATCCCACAAACAAAAGCTCCCACCATCAATACCAATACAAAACTTTTAATCTCGCACAAACAAAAGTATCTTCCACATTCACCCCACCACCTGTTGTTACAATCACCACCACCACAATCCCGTATCTCCATAATATGTGGTATATGTAAAACTGTTTACCTTTGTAGCCAATACATTGAATGCGTCATGTCGGCAATATAAAATATAAAGAGGGAATTCGCGTACATCAACTTCGCCTGTTCCGTTGTTAAGGACGACTGCGTCATCTAGCCCAATAGTCCTTCCTGCCTTGTAGCCGCCCTGATGATGGAGGCAGCAAGGACCTCTGAAACTTTGGTAAATTTCTACCAGACTACAAGGCGCAACAACCTAGAAGACGGCCATCTTCGGATTCAACCTCAAATCGTACAGGGAGCTAACAATTCTACCTTTACGTGCGGTACCGCTTAGGACCTCCATCTTTGCATCTCTAATGAACTGAAAATGCTTACGGTTGTTATTATTCAGGACTGTTCTAATTGCTAGACTTCGTGATGCACCAGCTTAAAGACGGGGTATATTATTATATTGTTCTTAACACAATCCACTTGTGTGTATAATCTCCATCAATAAAACTTGCTACTGCTAACATATAAAACATGTTTTATAAAGAATTTGTAGGTCTGCTTAACTTGTTATTAGCCATACAAACTTTCGAAAACGTAGTCCTAATACTTCAGGATTTATATCATGGCAACTGCTTTCTCTTGATGGCGATATCACATTCTACACTAAAAAACTTCCCTTAAGAATTGTCACCACACAAAATTTGTGGACTCTGTAGCCTAAGGTCCGTATTATTATTGATTGTAAAAAACTATGAAGTACAAAGAGGAGATGACATCCAGTGTTATCAATATCACAGCAAATATCGTGAAAATCCGTCACTTGGTACAAACTTTTTAAGTTAAGAAAATCTCGCAACTGTAACGTATTCAAAGCCAGTTTGATTTTCCATCTCTATAATCTATTATTCTTTTACGTTTTATCATTTTACTGGTTTACTAATTCAGAATTTCGCCCACAGAACATAATGATGGTTCTTTATCTTCTCAGAAGATAAGGTGACTGATTTCCTAAACATTAACATACGGACATTTATAACAGAGGTACCATGTATTTTCTTAGTGGTAGGGGCTTAATTTTTAATAATGTTTAGATGGGATTCGCAATTAATCTTTGGGGTAAGAGCAGAAGTTTCCAGCTAATTTAAGAAAATGGCCCTTAAGATAGTTTGGAGAGATTACTGCTTGGGATGTAATGAGCATGCTATAGATCTTGAGGGATTGCTCTTAACATCTGAACTTCTGACGACCTTACCCTTCCTCTCGTCTCTTCACACAACCCATTTAAAGCCAGCTTCAACAAACTTGAGGATAATTTACATTAAGCCCGCCAATAGTTCTGTTCGCAGTCCACGACAGCAGGGACCAATTGCACAGAAGTCAGGAAATTTGAGCGCGGTTCAAGACATGTAGAGCTCTGAACTCCGGAATATTCCGATTAAATTTACAAAAACGTTCGAAGTTTCGTACAACTTCAATACTGTAAAACTTCTCATTTCAATGTATTACACACTCATGATAAAATAATTATTTTTAACACGTTTCCACAAACACCGCTGCATTTAAAAAATAATATAATAACTTTTTATTACAAACAAATAAAATTGGCTTCTGAAAAAAATATGTTTAATTGCCAAGCAGAAGAACGGCACGTGCATTATTACGCGACTTTTACAATGAAAAACTTACCACTTAATAAAAGTCTTAGTCTATGGTATTTCAGAACGATAAACCAAGTTTTGCACTCCGTGGTTGCAGATAAAAATATGACAGGCGCATTTGAAACAGTTCGTGTTCGAAGTCTAGAGACAACCATTTCAAACCCTGGTTACAACAATAAAAAATTAAAATTCGTGTGGTCTTTATTATCAGAAGTCAGCATCAAATCAGCCATCCGCTATCAACTCTTTAGAACCAAACCACGTTGAAAAACAACCGAAAAGATGACAACAGAAGAGGAAGGAGCCTTTTATTTAAAAAAAAAGCCATTTCAAACCTGCAACAGGACAACGTCTTTTGTTCTCTACCTCGTCCTTCGAGGCGAATTCCTCCAATTAGACTTCCACATTCTTATCCGCTACTTACGTACACATTTAACACAGCGCCTGTCTTGTGGCAGGTAGACAGCCACGTGCTACAGTCGTGTGGTTTCACAGTCTCATGGCTTCCTTCAGCCTGATCACGCGGCATTGCTTTGCAAAGTAAACTACTATTATTATACAATGTTTTGTTCGGTAGGTGAATTGCCGAATTCATTAACTGGGCCATTAACCGTTCCCACGGAACGGACGATGTATCTCGTTTGGAAACACTGCTCCTTGTGATCTGGATTTACGTATTTAGTGTGTCAGATCGGCGAAACAAGCATGTCCTACCGTCTGACCACAGCTAAAGCCAACCATTCGTGCCTTCTCAGCAACGTGAATTGTAAACTACCATGAAAACATACGATAATGGATCTTTTCAAAATAAAAGCTGTAAGTGGGTCACCACTTACTTTCTTGGCCTAGAAATTCCGTATAACGGTACCCGAAATTTCATTTAACGATTCATAAAACCCGCCATGGTTCACATCTTCAAAAACTATTCGCCTTCCAATATGTATTTTCCTGTCACTTGCATACAAGTCCACCTGAGCGAGATTTCTGCTCGTCATGACGGCAAGTATTTAGACGACTGTCTGACTGCCTGGAATTTTGCGATCAGTGACTCTTCGCCCTGATGGCTGAGGCAGGAGCAATATCTGAAACGTCGGTAAAATTCTACGAGACTACAAATGCGAAATGTCCCTAAAGACATCATCTTTATAAGTCTACTTGATGGGTTATTCCGGCAAATTTATCACATTTACAACCACGGGTTCCGTCCGACTCCATTCTGTATAAGATAGTGTAATTGCGTCATATTGTGAATATTATAACAATTATTTATTTTAATCCGTCTGATCACAATATTTAAAATTTCTTATAATTAAGATAATAAAATATCATTGATGTTCCATATCGATTGATCGATTTACATTTCGGAACATTTACACAACATGTTTCGGTTTTTATAAAACCATCATCAGGAAGACACTAGTACTTCTGGACATATCGGGACACTCACTCCTACATCTTTGGTCGATATGTACATCTAATAACATTTAAGAAAACAACACCTTCGCCCAAAAATGGAAAAACAAACGTAATGAAACATCACCAAAAAACTACAGAAATCATAATTGAGTTTTAAGTTCTTAGATATATTTTACACCTGATGATGGTTTTATAAAAACTGAAACATGTTGTGTAAATGTTCCGAAATGTAAATCGATCAATCGATACGGAACATGAATGATATTTTATTATCTTAATTATAAGAAATTTTAAATATTGTGATCCATTCTGTATTTAATTAGACCACTAACCGTTCTCTGTAGAAAAGAAAGCGATGTCCAGCTGTTCCTACGCTCTTAAATCGTGTTACTTAAATGTGTTATTTTAACGTTTTAGAAACATCAGTGTCTAGTTGATGGCCTCTGAAGTGCCATCTGTTTCTCGAAGAAATGTTATTTATTTTGCCTGCATTCTTGTTTCATAATCTAGTTTCGTCATCCATGTTATACCGTCACGGATTTATACAAGTAAATTTCAACCCCGCTCTTTCTTACTTTAAGAATATTTCTAAATTTGTTACATTCTGAGGCCATCTCTATTCATCCATCCAAACAATATCAAGGGAAGTGTAGATATTATGAACGTTCCGAGAACTTTGTTCCGGGACAAGGAAAACGATACTGTGGGGTTAAATAAAACAGGGAAGTTTAATAACCGCACCAAGTTCTCCGGTCAATGCAGAAGTTTTCCACATGAAGCCGCAAATTACTGCTGATGAGTCATTTAATTTCCATAGCTGACATAGTTGTGTACTCGAGGAGCTCCGCTCATGACAGAGCTGGAAGGGAACTCCAGCGTTGATTGATGCCCAGGCTGAGAGCAGTGATTACAAACTCCATACAACCGCGTTCCTGCGTGCGTGTATACGCCACCTTCTCCTTAAGATTCTCATTTTTCTCTCTTGCTTCTTCACCCCCTCCCTTTCCTTCAACTGTTTCTTTTTCGAAAAAAGTCTCTTTTTACGTATAATTTTATTCTTCTTATTCCTTACTTTTTTAACCACGTTTGGGATTCTCTCTCTCTTCTTATTTCTACTTTTCCGACACATTATCCTTCTTATGCTTTCCTTGTCCCTTTCTTTTCAAAATCTCATTCTCCAATAGAAATGGTTTCTTCGAAGGTCGTTCCGACGTTTGAAAGTTCATTTGGTGCTGCCATCTACTCCCAGGTCTTCCTGTAGACCTTTTTTCCTCTGAAATCACTTGTGTTTATCGTTTTAGGGTTCACGCACGAATGTTATCTCCAACTGAACACTTCATTCTCGTCCCCTGTTATTACCGGCCCAGCCCCAAAGACGCGTGTATCAACGAGCGAATCAAGTCGGTGCCTTATAATTCAAGTGCTGTTTCCTGTATCTTAGCACGCAACGTGAATGGAGTTAGTCATCTGTGATTTCTTTTGATGCGATGATTATATGATGAAATGCTTTGTTGTCACATAACCCAGATGGTAGAACGTTACCACACTGTGGTCACAGCAGTCCACACGTGGGAAAAAAATCTCTAAGTGGCATCTAGAGCGGGACATGGCTTCAACCAAAACTGACTCCATAAAATGTTATAACGAGAATCTAATAAATAGATGGAGGCAACTGATCAACATTGACACTCCAGTCGCTTTATTACTCGGTACATCTGGACACAGAAGCAGATACATTTCTCAATGGGTACTTCTGTGTAGCAGCCACTCTTAACTATGTGGATGTCAGTAATTAAGCTTAACAGAAGGTTGGAAACAGACAAAACATGTGACGTAAGAACGTTTCGCTGTGCATACAGCATATGTGTGTGTGTGTGTGTGTGTGAGGGAGAGAGAGAAAGAGAGAGAGTGAATGTTTGGGTGTGAAACACGACAGCTCTAATACTAATCTTGTTAAGACTAGAAATACGGTCTCTTCACCATGATGAAAGAAAGCACTCCTTAAATGACGTGAGATGTACAAAATACACTGATTACAGGTGGAGCGAACACCATCGGCCATGAACCATCGGATGGATTCCGGTCACGTGAACAAGGGATTTTCTGCGAACGAGGAATTCGACGGAAGCATACATTTTGACACACAGCACTACGATGAAATCGACTTGGGCTTTAAGGAGGTAACATTTCAAGCAGTCCCTCTTAAGTACCACGTTCTGAAGGCGTACAGTGGGCATAAACATAACTCTTTGCAGAAAGAACTGTACCTACCTTTCTGTCTATGCACAACGCTATAAAGGCTTGTATTCACAACTAAAAAGCACCTAAAATCACTAAAATTTAAATCTGTCCCTTCGTGCTACACCCAGTCTTAAAATGCCACACAACTGGTACCTCGGCACGAATAGTAGAATGTTCATCTCTACTCCGGCATAAAATTCCCGGGTGAAGACACCCCCCATACCCACTGGTTAAATCAGTGAGCCTCCCACTACACAAGTGGTGGTCGAAACACATCACAACGGACCTACAGGGGTTCGAACTTCTGTTGCGCATTCCGAAGCCTCAGCACTCAGGGTCACCCTGCACGTAAACGAGAGGAGTCTGTCACGACAACAAACGAGTAAACTCTAGCATCGACGTTATTAAGTTGACTTAGACATTAAGACGAAAGGGGACGCAGTTTATAGCTACAAAATCTCTACCGAAGTGGAACTGACCTCAGTCAGTATACGGTACTTCCTGCAGGGGACCACGGAGGTTTTGTCTTGCGAATCAATGGATGTAGGATGAAGTGCTCTCTAGTTACCACACTGAGGCAGGATCTAGAGAAGTACTTGACATTTAAATACCGGTTCAGACCTTCTAAACAAATATTCAATTAAAATTATTAGTTTTCCTTTAGACTTTTCCTGCGTTTGTTTGCACATTGTATCTATGGTAACTTTTCATAAACTTCATTGATAAAACGCCACAGATGTCAACATAAATGACAGAAGTATTTTACAGACATTTTAAACGTCGAGAGGGCTCCCGAACAAGAACCTCTTTTACACAAGACATGTGCATAGTTGTTTCCTAACTCAAAACGTACAAAAATGTCATGAAACAAGCATATCAATAAATAACTATCGAAAATTGAAAGCCATAGGCCGGTATTCACTTGTTAATGACTATAACCCAAAGAACTTAGCTTAAAGCTACAGAATTCCTTCTATACTCTTTTATGCCTTTCGTGAGATAGAGCAACACAATTCCAAACACTGTTAAAGGAATGCACGCTAAGAAGCAGGGGAAATCAGCACGTCCCCGTATCGGGTTTCCGCTGTTCGCCACGGGGAATATAAATATTACGTCTTAATCTGAAGATGCCTTCACGAATAGCATCGCTAAGCATTCCCACACCTGCGTGACGCCTACTATCTCAATACAAACCTTCAGTACCATCAGTCATCGCGAGTTAAAGTTGACAACAACACCGGTTGTTAGCAAGCGATAAGTTACTAGAAGAAATGAATCGTCCAACCGAGTAACTTACTTTCTTGTAGAACGCGAAGGTTAGACAACGTGAACGGACATACCAGCATCTGTTGATACAAGTACCGAGCATTGCTGATCCACCACACTGTTCCGTGTTAGTGAAGTACGATTATGTTATTTAACGACTCTGTATCAATTACACGGATTATACAGCAATGAATGACATACGAATGGGAAACGAGGTTCTCTCAGTTGCAAGTATGAAGATATGTCATCTGGGTTGTACGCCGTGTAGTCTGGTAGAAGTTTACCGATCATCCTGATGATGGAGGCAGCAAAGATCTCTGAAACGTCCGATCACGAATGGCGAGTAAATGTGAGTATGGAAAGAGACAGTTACGATATATCTCGAGGAATATATCATTCGCCTGGAAAGACTGAGTAATACCATGAAAGGGTCTTAGAAGAGTAGGTAACGCGCTCGAGATTTGAAGCAGATACCTCTAGAATACAATTACCGCTGCACCAAGCTGCTTGGTTTGAGTGAATGCATAAATGGACAATGTCTGGAATGTTATCCGTACTTCTACACTTATCTGCATAATGTTCATTACAGGTCTGACACAAATGTATAAGTTTCTCCATCGGAGCCTTAGGTTCGAATACAGGCCCAGAGGTCTCATAACCTACGATGTATCGTGGTTTTACTCGGTCCCGCCAGCGAAGATTCTGGGATAATGACATAAAAAAGATCGACCAAAGACGGGCACTAAGACATGAGTGCCCTAGTCTAGATTTGAACTAGCGACTGCAGTGTGTGCTGTGCACAATACCTAGTACTGAAATTAACAATTAAAGGAAAAGCAGAATTTAATCGTCAAGTCTGGTGTATAAGGTAAAATGACTAACAAACCATCTGTTCCATCTCAAATGTTACACAGTTATCACGAAACCTAATTTTACAAATGGCTTCGGTGAAATGTCTTCATTTCGCCAGATGTGCTATTAACGCAAATGAAGATCGTAAATTTCCTGTAGCTGGGTTCGCAAACATTTAAATTATATGATTATGGAACTGTGCAAGCAAAATTCAGTTATTGCTCCCTAAAACCAATTCCCATTAACGAAATATGATTCAGGTTTTGGAGATTTGTTTAAAACAAATATATTGTTTTTTTCGAGCGGATGATAACAATTCTATTTAGCTTGGGGAAGTCCACAATAGAGTCGGAAACGAGAAGCTAAGCATTTCATATGATCCACCCTGTAATTGAAATGTCAAATCCCGTGCGTAAAATCCGGTTCTTCACCTCCGTTGTGTGGATTTATTACGTGGCATGGACTGGGTGACAACCACAGCGCATGCCTGAAATAAGAATTAACAAATGTATAAATGTGTAGCCTAGTGAAATTTAGAGAGTGGACATTTTTCAGATGTGTTATTTACAATTTCCCAGAGCTCGCCGGCTTTGATGTTCATTCGTGGCTCAAAATATTCTGTGCTGTTGCAAAGCTAATCATGGCGGAAAGCCTAAAACCGATTCCGAGTATTTATTTATAGTTGGACTTTCACTTGGAAACAAAAGCTAGACAATTTCTGAGAAAATCAATAAAATTCAATTGGACCAGTAGGCATGAAAATAAATACGTTCGATAACATTTAGTGCAAACCAACCAAACAATAAATTTCATCAAAGTCCATGGAATTGTCTGTATTGAGGGTACATTTCATACAATATCTTAATAAAACACATAATTCAACAATGAAGTTCGACATTCGAATTAATTATAATACAATGATATATGATTTTTAGTTCCTTAAGGTAAATAAGAGCTACTTTCTCCTACAAATAAAGAAAATACTTCAATATATATGTACGCCGAATGCATACAGATAGAGCATACTTTTCCTCGGCATTGCGTCGTACAAATCTGTCGATAACCACTGACATCCCTATGATTTCAAAATAAAATCTTCTGTCCAATACATTTTTAACATTTTTTTGTTAAAATATCCGAGGGCGAGCAAATTAAAATTGTGTCTACCACCAAAATAATGATAGTCAGTCGTCACATTACACAATTACGAGTCTTGTGTTCCCTAGTATTGTTCCTTTACATCAATCAGGCATATCCGCATCTGTATGCAACCGTCGAAAGAGGTTTGAAAGGATTATTACGGATGGAGACAGAAATCAAAGTTTACGAAATACCATCCTCGGAATAGATTTACCTCGCCGCGAGTTCGTATTGATTGAAATTCATCTCAGGATTTGCACGCGAGGCAAAAACACTTTCTCTCCAGAACTTGAAATATTAACACATACGAAGTGTCGTTACTAGATTTTTCTGAACTGCTTACAAATTCAGATAAAATCACATTGTTCCAAAAGGAAAACTTGTAGGTTTTCTGTATGAACAGGAATGTTTTAACACTTATGGCGAGCCCTTGTCGTAGAGAACGCCATCTGAGCCTCACTTCTCCAGAGAGAAGGGATGGTGAGACCTGGTCCACTGTCAGTCTGCGTCTGGTCGTCAGAGGGTGTAGTTGTGTAGTGTGGTGGTTACTTTGGTAACGTGGTGTTGGTGGTAAGGACAGGGAAGGAAACGCGGGAGTCTGTCAAGACAAACTAATTAAAAACAAAACAGAAGTGTCATAGTTAATTTGGAGTGCAAAATTTCTGCATAAATGTCGTGCCTGAAAAAAGTTATCATCACGGAAATGAAGTGAAGAACTTGGAATAGGGGTTCTGTTTATGATCATGGATACGTTGTGTTTAGGGTCATTAAAATTCTTGTGATTTTGTACGTACGTAATCCCTACAATATTAGACTTATCAAACCTTTTCTTAATATTTATATAGGCAAATAAAAATGTCATTGACATGTGGGGTGATTTGTAATAAAATAACGTGTAAATAGAATAATATAAAAATCGATTATTTGTTGTAATTAACAAATATAACGGGAAGTTAAGTAATGGCATTAGAATGCGTAAAAATTTATTACTTTTCATATGCATCTAAACGTTATATGAAACGTAACGTACGTAAGACAGTTTTAGTAATTCTTCAAAAGTTATGTGATTTTTAGAGTGGAAGGCAGTAATCAGTTGAAACGTTGATACATTGCTGGGCACAAAAGTTCGTGACACAGCAACCGAATCTCTTCAGTTGTCTCGGAAGACAATTTAGACGCAATTTAATATTCAAGTACAAAATTCGATGTTATCAAAGCTGTAATATGACTGCGTGATGTAAATCGAGAAATCACGCGATTGTCAGGAAGCCAAAGGCCAGAGAGAAAATTGGAAGCATATTTTGTTAAAAGTTTTCCTTTTCTGTCCCAACTATTACCATAAGAGAAGTGACAGTTCTCAGACAAATTCTGCGGAGAAACATCAATTTCCACCTACTAAAACATCATAAACGTTTTAACCCTCAAAGAGGGGGATAAATGAACAAACTTTTAAGAGGGGTGGCTAAGGGGTAATTCAATGACAATGGTTGTCACGCCCTACCGTTATAGTAACAATTCAACAAGAACCACGTGTGTCAGGCTCTGGCAAGAGTGGAATGTTCAAATTGATGTCAAATCGAGGAGAATATGGCGAAGTAAAAATTTTCACTCTTTGAATTTTTGTAAATAAAATATACAGAAAGTATAATAATTGATCCGAAACAGCAAATTCAGGTAAAGGGCTGTTAATACTGATATTCGTGCTGGATGGGGAAAATTACATCTGAGATGTACGGAAATAAATTCGAACACTTAGAAAATCCAGAATTCTTTAAAACAGGGAATCTATAAAAATAAAAGCTACAATGCTACTGCAACATCTTCAAAAATTGTTCAGGCAGTGTAAATATCAATGAAATGTTCAAACCTCTCCCCAAATCTTTGAAAATAATGAATCTAGATCGATTATTGAGGGGGAATTCTTTGAGATTTGATAAAAGTTAATTTGGACAAGTGTGCAAAATGAACACGTTACTTAAAATACCGGTGTCATTGAAATTACTAAATTAAGATTAATTTATTATTGAAAGAAATTCTTGAACAGTGTCGAAAAAGGGATTTTTTGGAAGGTATAGGGGTATGTACAATTTTAAAAGATCTATCGTCTTTTAAGTTAGCGCATGCACAAAACATACAGGCTATCCGTGAGGAATTGTTACGCTTTGTTGTTAATAATTTTTTCGCTTCAAAAAAAAATATGTTTTAACAAAATAATGTCTAAACTGTAAAACCACTAAATTTCTATCGCTAATCTACCCTAACAGCCGGGAATTCGTTTTTTCAGCAACGTTTTTCTACTGAAGAGGGAGCCTGGAGCAACGTTTATTCTCCATGACAGCATGTCATTTTATAAAAATACGGGTATGCGTAAGTGAATGTGAATTATTATTTAATGGCGCATTATGTATGCTGTACTCAACCCCAGTCTATGTGCCCATATCAGTATGTGCATGCGCGCAAAGAGATTAAAATATATGAAAACAGTAAACGATGCGAATAATCCAACATGTGATTTCAAGCATATGAGAAATATAATTTGAACATCAGTGACGCTAAAGTAATCATACAACATCGCACATTTATTGGACTATGGTAATTATATATACCACTTGGTTTAACTTTTCGTAACTCGATATATGCCATCTGTGCTTTCTTAATATTATTCATGCTGCGTTATCTAACAGATGAACAAACAAACAAACAAACCATTCAAAAATATTATTCAGAAGATGTTCGTCCTTTGAGAGAGGATTGACGCTACATACTCGTTAAATAAACTATACATAACAAACTGAGAGAGGAGAATTACGTGTATAAAAATTAATTAAACAAACAATTCTGCAAGTGGAATGAATGTCTGTGTGCCAACGACAAGAACAGAACGTGAAAGCGAGCTCTCATTCGAAGACGCTTAATTGGCTGTGAAGATGTCGACGTGTTTCTTGACTTTGCAGACCTCAGGCCACGACCTGGGCACCGTTGCAGGGGGGTGTGACGTCCCGTCTGACAAACAACGCACGCCGGAGGTCGTGGAGGACTCAGAGGCGAAATGTGGTTGGTGTTTCTTCAGGCCGCTGTTCTTGCAGAGGTACAGGACAGCCAAATGGGTTCTCTTCTGGCTGTGCTGGGCAGGAGCTGTTCAAGGTAGGAGACTACTTTGCGTTCTTCGCACGAATTTCACGAAGCAAATTCACACGGAGAAGGTCGTCCTCGTCCGTCTGACACCTGTCACCGTGTTTCACCTCCAAAATTACAGGAGTAATTTCGAATAAATTTGGTTTATATAAAAATCTGACAAAGAGGTAGCTGGCCAAATTTAAATTTGTCATTTTTCAGGTTCTCACGACACCGAGTATGAAGACGAATTTCTTCCCGGGTTTTACACAGTGTAGTCTCGTTGAAACTGGCCGACGTTTTAGAGGTCCTTACTACCGCCATTATTTAATTTGCTGCTTAAATTATATGGCTATTATTTTACAAATTCAACACAGCTTAGGCCAACTTAAAGAATCACATAATATCGTAAATGTCCGACGTTTTAATGCTTCTT